CCGCGGAGTAAGGTCAGTCTTCCGGTGCCCGAGAACGCCCAGGTTCCACCCGGAAGTCAAAATTCTATCAGAGTCAAAAAATACTTTGTGGTGTTATAGTTGGGAAGTCTTTTCAGTAACTCTAACCCTACTTCATGAAACTCCCAGCCTCATCCTCCCGAGAGAACAAACGGAGTCCACTCACCAACTCCAAAGGCTCGATGAAAACCAGCAGAAACATCCCAACCTCGCCAGCACTCACATCAGACCCAAACCCAGCCCCTCCATTCCGCAGTGTCTCCGCCTGCAACAGATGTCGTCTCCGCAAACACCGCTGTGATCAACGCCTGCCTCGCTGCGAGTCATGCGAGAAAGCCCAAGTCCGCTGCGTGGGCTACGACCCGCTCACCAAGCAAGAAGTCCCACGCAGCTACGTAGCCTTCCTCGAAAGCCGCGTCAAGTATCTCAACCAAGTCCTCATCGACCACGGCATCGGGTTCAAGCCCGCTACCGCCTACGACGAGGAAGAAGCGCTGAAGATGGAAACCGGCCATTCGCCGAGGTTGGAGGCGGGGCCACGGGAGACGAGAGAATTGCCAGAGCAGTCGGAGACCCAAACGGGGATGGGGGCGCGCACGGCCCGTAAGAGGAAGTGGACTCCGTCTTCGGAGGACACCATTCCGACTAGACAGGCCAAGCGCTTGGCGCAGTTAAATGTTCTTCTTACGGAGTTGTTGACGGATGGATGTGACCATCGTCATTGTTCGCGGGATCCGGGTGGGGGATATTTGCGTGCTGCTCGTAGGCAGCGTGTACAGGAGGACTCGAGGGAGCAGAGATTGCCGTGGTCGCCGCGGAGTGTGGATTCGATTGAGCAAGATAACCGCGTGACGAGGTCTGCGTCCCCGGGGTCATTGCACGAGCCATATCATTATCCCAGGGCGACTCCTGGGCGTGGCTCGTCGATGATCGGTGGTGAAACTATGAGAGCGGATCATGGGCGTGAAGTGCGTGACGCGAAAAGACAGCCTAGGGTTGAGCTTGATTTGGTTAACTTCGAGTCTGAGATCATGCCTCTTGCTGGGGGTGGTAAAGTGCGGAACGCCAATGTCGTTCGGCATTTGAATGTTTCCAGCCGTGCGTCGTCGCCGGATGATGAGGGCCGTTCTAGTCCCGAGCCCAAATTTGATATTGCTGCTGATCTGCTTCGAGGACGGAGGGAGAGGGAGAGGGCTAATTACGATCTGCTGGATGAATTCCTTGTTGACTGGACTGAGTGATGTTTGCCTTCTTCCCTGCGGGCGAGTGTATGATTAGATGGATGTGAATATTAGCCGAATAGACTTGATTTTAGAACATGATGTCGAAGAGGTTGTAAAAAGAGTAAGTATTCCTAATGTCAAGGCTAAAGTTCCACACAAACCGAATTTCGAAACGATTGTCAAACACCATCCTAAAACGGAACGCAACATCAAACAATGTCGTTAATCATGTTCTCTTCCCAACTTATCACCAGCTCTACACAGCGATTGCCGTTACCGCGGAGAGACCAGTGTCCATGGAGTCCTTGAAAGTGTCGACCTCAACATTGAAGCTGTGCATGCCCGTACGGAGAGCATCGTTCTCTTGATCCTGGCTGACAGCAGCATCTACAGGAAGATCGCGCTTCGCGGGCCAGATTTGATGACCTGCAGCCTCCTCTTTGGCATAGTGTTCCGTCACAACCTCCCGCACCGTCTTCTGAAAGTGAAGGGGACCCTGCTCCATCTCGGGATGAAGCTGGCCGTTGACAAAGATACCAGCGTTGAGATTCTTCTGCGTGTGCATGCACAGGTACTTGTCTTCAGACATGATTCGCTTGTACATGTCGCTGATGAGGTTGAAGGCCTCATCGGTGGCGTCCTTGTGGCGGTAGACTTCGTAACGCATTACACATTGAGTCGGGCTGGTAGGGGTGAACCGCTGCATGAAGAAGAAATGGGGACTGGGGAGGGTCAACATTGATTTTGTAATAGAGTCTGATTTAAAGAGACACTGTAGACTCACGAGATGTTGACAGAGGCATTAGGCCAGAAGTAGGTAGTTGCTATCCGGAAACCCTTATCGATCTGGTCTTGTCGCTGGGCGCCGTAGTGTTGGATGTGGCCGGCCTTGGTCTTGACGTAGTAGGAGTTGAGGTCGGCGATGGTGGGGATATCGGGATGAGCGACTTTGCAGTGGTAGCACTCGTTGTAGTTATCGGCTAGGATCTTCCAGTTAAACTCGCCTTCCATCTCCCAAGTGTGATCGAAGTTATAGTCCTCGAAGTTGTAGTGCTCGAACCGGGGTTGCTCGTCGACACCTTCGAAGTCATCATTCCAGGCAACTTCGGGGAGCTTGTTAATGTCCAGATTCACCCAGACAAATCCAGTGCGGTCAATGTGCACATGGACAGGGAAGATATCGTTGCTGTGGAAAGCAGTGATGGTTCCATTGTTGTCTTTGGCGACGGTGAACTCGTAGCCGGCAGCGTCGTAATGAACACAGTCACCGATGTTGGGGACTCGGTGCTTGTGTGTAGTAAGAAGCCACTTCCGGGAGAAGATGGATCGGCGTTCAAGCTCGTACATATCTTCGGAGGTGTACCAGGAAGCGGGTAGAGCACGGATAGGCTTCTTCTCATCCTTCGCCGGAACAGCGGAGGGACCGAAGTAGTTTCTCCAGATGGACATTGTGAATCCAAAGTCGCAGAGATAGATTTGTAATTGAAATTTCAGTAAAGGAGGTTAAGACTGAAGTTTCCACTGTGCTAATTGCACTTGGTTGCTGTGGACTAAATTTGAGCTCGGAGACGTCTTCTCTTCTAAATAGTCATCCCAATCACCGCTAACTCCTGAGCACCGAGCTTGGAACAATCAATCCGGTGCATGGCCGGGATCTCGACCTTTCGAATCCGAGTCCGGTGACATAGTTAGAGGCTGATTGTGTTGACAATAACCAGTTCTAGAGAGTGAGACCTGGATACCGATCACGTGACCGGTGGGGTATACATGCCGGACCGAGTGGCTTGAAGCCTATCAAACGCTCCTCTCATCAACAGGAGTGCTGACGTGTGTGGGCAGTTGACGGTTCGGGGTAAATCTGACCCCCGCAGGCAGTTTATTAATACCTTAAAATTGAAGTGTTTGTTCGCCGAGGCTGCAAAACCGGGGTATTGGGAGAGTCTGCCGCGAGACATTCTATAAACCAATGGGAACGGCAAGGCAGGATTCACTTCCGGTAACGCCGGTGCCAGACTCGTCACTAGAACTAGTAGGAGTCGTAGTCCTTTTGCTTTTGTGATGTTTTCTGGGGGTAACCCAACATCATCATCTTCCTCGTATGGGATTAGAATTCGAATAGAGGTTCCTCGACTGAACCCGGCTGATGCACTCAGATTCAAAAAGAAAGAGATTCATGTGCAAGTAAATTGATGTTTCAGATAGAATTTCCAAGTGTCGTGGCGTGTGGAGTATTTTGGCAGTGAAGGGGTCAAGACCAAAGAGCGTGGGCTAATGTCGGAGCTAGTAACAAACCCTTGTCTTTTTTCCCAATGAAATACAAAAGTCCAAGTCACCTGTCTCAAGGATGAAAAACACACGAATCGGTTTCATCAAGTTTGACACGATGACCTTTCCATCAGCTCTAGGGCAAGCAACGTTCCCCAAAACAGCGATGACCCTGATCGCCATCTTCAGACATCGAACGAACATGTCCGATCAAGGTGTCAAGTCCCAAACGGACACCAACGAGAAGGCAAACTGTTGAGGCAAATGGGGGATCTCAGGCCTCAATGCAGAATTAATAAAAATAGCTCAGGCAAACCCGTCTCCGAAATAAAACCGGCGCCTATAGAACCAACCATTGGCCGAGAAGGATCTGGGTCTAGGATTGTACTAAATTATGATCACCACGTATTTCATGTACGGAACACACAGCCCCGATGGGGCACTTTTAATGGAGATGATCATGTGTATTTTTATGTACGGAGTACTCCAACAAAGACTCAATATGCAGTACACCAGAACACAAAAGCTGAACGCCACTCTCCAAGGTGTAGATACATAGCGCACGACATAAATAGAAAGGCTTGCAATTGAAGCATGTGACACGTTAGCTATACAGACGGATTCCCGAAGATCGCGGGGGAAATCATGATTAGAAAATAAACGAGTAGACGAATACCAAAATCGTGGCTACGGTGGCAACCGTGTATTCGAGCTCGAACCAAGCAGCCTGGCCACCGAAGGCGATCTTTTTACTCTTCTTGGTCGGGTGCGCGACACCGGTCTTGGGGTCGCGCGTCAGCAGTTCCTCACGTTCGGGCATTTTCGGCGGGTCGATCGCATAGGAGACCGGGGTCCACAGTGAAGTGCAGATGAAAAGGAAGGTCAACGGAGGCCAGAAAGCGTGCGTGATGAGGCACAGGATGATATCTCTGAAGCCATTATTCTGGTTGAAGCAGCGGTAGGAGGAGATGACGACCGCAATAAGGGTGACATAGACGAAGGCAAGGTGGAAGCTGGCCATGTAATTGAGCAGGATCACGCGCAGGCGGACAAACATGTTCTTGGACTTCTTTGGGTCACGCTCGTTCAGAGCTGAGCCCAGAGAACCCGTTGGCTTGAAGGCTTGAGTCTGACCACCCAACCAGGTGGGCAGGAAGAAGGAGCGCACAATGCAGAGAGCGATGTAGGGCGACATCCAAAGTTGATAGCGGGAGCCTCGTTGACCGGTGTGGTAGCCGGCCGGGATGAACAGGGCCATTTCACAGAGACGGTTGGAGATGGTTGCGGCGAAGCAGGCCCAGATTAGCCAGCGGAGTTGCTCTTCAGTCGCGAATGCGACGAGGCGTTTGCCCCACAAGAGGATGACCGGGATGGCAAAGAGGGAGATAGTCAGCAGAAGAGTGTAGACACTGAGAGTTGCGTAGAGGAAGCCAGAGAAACGCTGAGCAAAGGTCATCTGTCGAACGGCGTCACCCCAGAGGCAAAACTTGAGCTTGACAGCTGTGTCGACAGTTCCAATTGCCCATCGCGTACGCTGCTTAAGATGTCCACCAAAGTCTTCCGGCACGGTACCAAATTGAAGAGCCTCGTGGATGTATGCGGTTTTCCATCCTCTGCCAAGCATGAGAGTCGAGGTCGCAACATCTTCAGCCAACGAACCAAGCGGGAAATTGCCAATCTCTTCAAGAGCCTCGCGTCGAACGACGTAACCAGATCCTGTGCACCAAGCCACACCGAGTGCGTCCTTGATGGGCTCAATAACATGCACGAAGAAATCCAGACTCTGAGCCAGCGGGTCGGATGCAGGGGTGTTGTAGAAAAGCTGCGGCGGGCATGCAAGGGCCATCTTGGGATCCACCAGCAAGTGGGGAAGAATCGCGCGAAGCCAGTCTTGTTCGGGAATCTATAGATTGTCAGTACTCAAAATCAAGCTTCATTGTAGACTGGGTGTTTGTAATTTACCATATCAGCATCGAGGGCAGCCATGAACTGGCCGGCGCCTCCAGGCAAAAGGTTGGTTTGGTCCAGACCATAGTTCAGGTTACCGGCCTTGAAATGGTGGGGCTTTCCGGGGATCTTTTCACGAGCCATGTATATCACATTGGGATGGTTCAAGGCGAGTTGGTTGCAGGCAGCTTCAAGGGTGAGGGAGTGGGCGTCATCCAAGATAATGACCCTCATCTGGTCGCGGGGATAGTCCTGGTCACATGCACCACGGACGGTATCGAGAACAACCTCGTCATCCTCTCCACAGCAAGTGATAAACACATCTACCGTAGGGCATTCAACACCGGTCAATCTCAGCTTGGCGCGGCCTCTCTTCTTCAAGGCCATCATAGTCCAGCAGTTGTGCATGAGGGAGGGGATCGAAACAGCGATTTCAATGGCCACAAAGACCCAAGCTCCAGCATATGAGACATGAGCATCGTTTTGGGCCAAAATGATGCAGGCGATTCTCAGACCCAGGTAGAACAAGTAGATTCCGGTGTTGGCTAATGTGAGAAATGGTACCAGGAAAAAGACCCATCTCTTCCATCCTTTCCATGTCTCCGCATCATCGCGGTCATGAATGCGAGCAATTGATCCAGATTTGACCCAGTCCTTCTCAAATGAAGGAGGAGCTGGTGAGCTCACTAGGGGAGCAAGACTCTGGTGGCTTGCTTGCACTCCATGGTTCTGGTACTGTACGGGAAAAATTTGTTAGGTTGTGGTCTATACCGAGAACCAAGAGAATAAGGAAAAATTTAGACTAACTAAAGTTGGTGAAGCCGACCGGGAATCATACGGCGTACGTGAGTCCCAGGGTGAGTTGTTGAAGGAATCAGAGTGACCCGACATTCGTGCGGTAGGTTGAAGCCAAACTGGTTGGCCGTAATCATCGGTAGGGAGATGACCCGGTCTGACTGGAGTAAGAGGCCTCGGAGATGATGAGGACGCGGAAGGCTCTGGATGTTCGAAGCTGGTGTTTGGATGGATGCCTCGATAGGTATTCAGTTCTACCTTTTCATCCTGATCATCAGGACCATAACGTCTGTCCATCTCGAGACGAAAAGGTCAAAAGACGAGGAATGTGGAATCTTGCGAACGTTGAAAACGAGTGTGATCAGCCCAAAGAGCCGGAATGGAAGGATGGAAGAGAAAACTCACATTCCTTAGTATTTTAGCGTACGGTACCGGCGATCTCAAAGGGCAGATGTTTAAGCCCTGAGGCTAGTGCACGCCAAGGGCTGAGGTACATGGCCGCTTTGGGCCGCAGCCGCGAGCAAAAATAGATTTTCACTCGTTTTCCCTGATTTTCCCTGATTTTCCCCGATGTTTACGATTTTGGTTGATATTGGTTGATTTTTCATTTTTGATTTAATCATTTTTAATCATTTTTAATCAAATTTTAATTCTTTTAATCCTTTTAATCCTTTTTAATAACTTGTTAATCATTTTTTAAAACGTAATGTTTCACTTCTACCACTGGTTTCTTACGCAATTTGTCTGACTTTGTAGGTATTTTCTGGTTGCATCAAGCGGGTCCTGTCATTTCTTCTCTTTTTTTTGGGCTTTGTAAATTTCAGTAATATTACATGGTTTCCATTTTCATTTCTAAAATAGTCACCTGACTCAACCAATCATCATATACCGGTGAAACTCCACCGGAGCACATGACGTGGTTTCGTACCTGAACTGTACCTGAATCCTGTACTGTACGGAGTACTGCAGAGCGAATGCAGTATATGAGCACACCATTACCACGCTAACCTTGGCAAAGACCCCGCTTAAGGCCCTTTCCTTATCAACAAGACTCAACACTTAGCCCCGATCGTCCTAAACATACTAACCCAATGCATCTCGACCTTCCCATTCATCCATCCACATATTGGTGTGGGATGTGATACCAATAATTTCGCCTTTGCTATTCGCTGTTCACCTTGCGTTATTTTTTTTTTTTTTTCTTTTTTTTGATCCCTCTCATCTTCGGGTTGCTTATCACTCTCACTTGCTCACTATCGCTTACTTGTTGAATTTAGACGCCTCTCGTTTTTGATCATGGTTTTTGGAATAGGACTGGTTGTCAATGCGGTCCTTGTGGCCATCCCAATTGGGGGAACCGTTGGAGCTCTCATGGGCCTTGACGCCCACCGAGCCGCTACGGGTCAGAAGCCTCTATTCACCGGGGGGGACAACAACGATAGCGGCGACATCGGTACCGGCGGCGGCAGCACTGGCGGTGGTGGCAGTGGTGGCGGTCATAACACTGTCACGAATAACGGCGTGGAGAACACCAGGTATTGCGATCTGTCTTGGGGAATCAACCCACCGTCGAAAACCGAACAATTCACTCGTAGGTACCCTCAAACCTACCAGCCCGGGAGCTGCTGATTCTTGAACAACGATTGACCAAACCTACAGTGAATCCCAATCAATGGGGTGTGACAAAAGATTCGACAGGAAATGGGCTATGTATGAATGTATGTATTGAACCCACCCATCCAAAATTTTACCAAGAGCGTACTAATGCAGCATCTTGACTTAGATCACAACGTTGGTCAACCAGACCTATGCCGCCCAGACTGCTCCCGAATTCTCCGTCACCTGGCAATTTGACCCTGGCCCGGAGACTTCACCTGTCCACGGATACCCGAATATTCGTGTCGACGATGTGTTGCCAAAGAAGATGGATCAGATCTCGGAATTGTACCTTGACCTGAGTTGGACATATGGAGTGGGTGACACGGTCGCCGCGTCAACAGATGTAACAGCGTTGAGCAAGGAAAATCTTGCTACAAACGTCGCTATTGATATGTTCTTGGACGCCGATGCCGACAATGCCAAGAATGGGACTCAGGCGAAATTCGAGGTCATGGTTTGGTTCTGGATGTCCAGCGTGGAGGCCCAGCCCCATGGATGGGGGAACCCAGTAATGAACAGGACCTTGGAAGGAACGGAATTGTGAGTTGAAGTTCAACTTGTACCTGACATATCCCACCATACGCTGACATTTATTCTCACTAGCAAACTTTACGCTGGCCAAAATGACAACAAGCAGTACGTTCTGTCCTGGGTTCCGGAAGGGGCCATCGAGAAGTTCACTGGAGACATCTATCCTCTCATCACCGATCTGTACAACTTTGGAGGAAGTGACTACCCGGCCAGAGATGACTACCTTGGCAGTCTCAGTTTCGGAACAGAAGTATACTCGGTGAACAGCAATGTCACCTTCTGGGCCGAGAAGTACAAGATCGACATCAAGAGTTGAGGAAGGGGTATATAATGTATGATTATGAGCATTTACTTTGCGGCTTTTTCCATTTTATATCGATACACATCCAGCGTTACATATTATGTCAGTTCTGCAATTTCCTCTTCAATGTCTTGTTTTCGATCTTTAAACCCCGGGCTACTCCGCGCCTTGCCAACCGTTTGCCAAGCATCTAACCTTTGAAAACGATGACGAACCATCACACGTCCAAATTTCTTTCCTTCAATGGTACGAACCTGATCAGTCAAGATCAGGTGGTGTCAATGTTGCAAGCTCAGCTACCAGAATTGCGAACGCTCGCATATCAGACTCGGCCCAGTCTCCGATTCCTTACCTAGACCAAATGGTACCCCAAGGACATGTCACACTCGAAAGAAAAAGCTCGTCCCCAAACTGGACATCATGATCCTGATCTTTGGCTGCCTTTCATTCTTCGCCAAAATACCTTGACCAACAGGCAATCGCCAATGCCTAGTTACCATATGTCGGTATTGTCCTCGGTCTAGCAGACAACCCCGGTTATTAACAACCTATTACAGAGGCATGAAAGAAGTCCTTAACCTACATGGAAACGAATTGAACTCCATAACAGTGGTATTCTGGGCCTCGCATTGCACCTCCCTGATACCGGCCTGCTACTGGCCAACGCGCATGCGTGTCAACATTGTGCTGCCGACTTTGGAAATCGGTCGGGAACTCTTCACCTTCGGCTGTGCTTGGGCACATAATTTAAATTTGAATTGCGCAATGCACTTCCTCATCCGGATCTGCGAGTCTTGCTTCAACACTGGCGTCATCTATATCATCCGGTCGTGGTATAAACCCGACGCGTCACCTCGCCGGGCTGCGATTATCTTTGTCGCTTCTCCACTTGGAACTATCTTCGCGGCCTATTTGCAAGCTATTGCTTGTACGAATTTGGAGGACAAACATGGATTGCCTGGGTGGAGATATTTGGTTCTATTATGTTCAAGACTTTGGTGTTCTTGGCACTGACCCGGTGGCAGATGGCTGTTCATTGTTTGCACTATTATCATGATTCCCATTTGCATTGTACAAGTCATACCCTACCCTGAGGCATTTCATTTATTCATCCACTACAGGCCAGTGGATATATCAATTTGCCTGACGTGCCTCACCGCTCAAAACCACGGTTTCTAACAGTGATCGCGCTCGACTTGGCCAACATTCGTCCGAGGGGTCTGGCAGCACCAAGTGAATTAAAGTCTCGCGGGCCATCTTCAAAAGGGTCTTCGGATGATGGCATTGGTATGTTTGTGTTGTGCAATGGATCTTAGTGGACCAGAATTTCACCTTCTCGACGCCCTATAGCTTATATCTCAGGACTAAACCAGATACCTACTTCGTCTCAACGGTGAACACCCTGCCGAAAATTGCAACAGCATTGCCTGTCATAGCCGCGCTAGTGGTGGGCGTTACCGCTGATCGGCTAGGCCATGGCAGCATGGACACAGATCTTTCAGCATCCGGCAACTTCTGGCCCCAACTTTCGAGCGGATTTCATCTTAAATCTAGTTACAACTGTCGCATGATTCTTGAGCGTTAGCTTAATCGCCTTTCTTGCATACGCGAAAAAGAACGAATGTCTTCTAACGGGTCACAAATATTGACCGAGCTGCAAATCATCACCATGTGTCATTAGGGTTGTTAAGCTGTCAAAAGTGCCGACGCTAGTCGAAAGGTGAGAATGTGGCGCCGTTCAAAGGTTTTCATTTGCCTTTTCAACGTCTTGGCATCACGACATCCCGGGATCCACCTTGATTTTGATCGTTCTATATAATTTCGACTGGTCCATCTTTTTTGTTGAATAGTGATATATTTCTAAGAAACGGAATAGAAGGCCTTTGACCATGGCTCCTAATGAGCCAGAAGTTACTTCTGAGCAAACCTATGACTCTCGGATTACTCGGTCTCGGTCGTCTTGGTACCGCTCCATTCCCTTCCAGATTGCTGTTGCCAGTGGTGTCTCGTTCACCGCTCCTGGAATGTGAGATGCACTGAACAACCTCGGAGCAGGCGGGGCAGCCGAGCCCTACGCTGTCTCCGCAGCGAATGCTCTGGTCTACGGTCTGTTTGCCGTTGTTTGTGTAGCCGCCGGTGCAATCAACAACCGTATCGGTCTTCGGTACGGTCTAGTTCTTGATGCAATCGGTTACCCGATGTATGGTTCTGGTTTGTACACTAACAACTACCACCCCATGACATGGTTCCTGCTCTTCAGCTCTGCGCTGTGCTTCGATCTGCATGGTGCTCCAGATTCAACCCGGGAACCCACGTTTTTAATTTTGATAGACAGATGAGATACCCCACATGCTCCCACTCAACGCCGAGCATTATGTATAAAAAAATGATAGAACTATAGAATAGACAAATCTGGGAAATGGGCACAGCAGATAGGCATTGTTTATTTGAACTTTCTTCAAGGATTTCTATAGAGCACTTGAACCATTATAGAGTTTCAACGAAGGTAAATTTCCAATCCTTTATAGTTCAGAATGCTAATCTACATGTGTAACCCTTTTAAGTAATAAAGTTACAAAGATGCTCGACCGCTTATGCAGCTGTGAGGCGTCATTTTTGGAGACTTTTCAGGCGGACTTTTAGATGTATACAAACGTGGGGGAAAAAAAACATAACTCGTGCTGGGGCCTATTCTATGTATAACCAGGGAAATAAAATCTTCAAATTAGACTCAAATTAAGTAGCAGACGGCAAAAGTACAGCCTGTAATAGTCTCAAACGAGGCCGTTTTAGGTCGCCCATCTGTTACGCTTCCTGCCGTGGGCCAGCAAACAGCTAGCACCTGGCGCTCCAGCGAGATCACTCCGTATACTTACGTGTATTTCTCATCGATTATATCGACATAGCCACTAGGCATCGTTTTACTCTATCATGATGAGCTCGTAGATGGTACTTACTGCGAGGTTGGAGGGACTACTAGGAAGAAGAAGTGGGTGCGGCGTGAATAAAAGTACATGAATTTAGGAATGTGATACAGCACAGCATCTCTGTCAAGGCGGACAATGCAAATATCCATGAATGTCTATGGACACGGAGTACTCCGTACAGCGATCGGGATCATAGCAGGCACCTGTCACGTCCTACAAGCTTAGGTGGGCCCGCCTAATAGCTCTTTTAGTACTCCGTAAAGAGAGTGGTTTGATCAATTTTCTATACTATTCCTCCTTGAACGATTCTTCCAATCCCTAAGCAGGTGATTAGTCAGGGACCAAAATGCTGCGGCTGGAATTCTGTTGTAAAACCTACCATCCACAGTCCATTATGGGATGATCCTCACGACCCAGTCTAGGCATCCCTACTCCGTACATGAACTCCAACTAGTCTTCTTCCCAAATCTTCCACTGACCTAAGTACTCCTCTATCGACTCACATGTCCACAATCGCATTGTATTTACAAGCGACAGCTTTAGTATCATTGGCATATCAACTTCCAGAATTATAATCACTGCAGCTGACAAAGTTGAACTCGAAGACGCGCCAATTCGCGTATGGTTTTGGAACGATAATCCCAAGCCTCCAGTGGTATTTTTGAGTTCAGACAGGTGCCTCCATAAGTATTTGAAGCCGGGTCCAGTGTGTCGTAGAACCCATCTTTAATTACTTCGATCTCAATTATTTTTGATTGGAGTATCGGCTGCCGTAATTATCCGGGTTGACCAAAGTGGCCCTAAACTTAGAACGGCCAAAGGTTCCCGATGGTTTACAACTCTGCCGGTCTCGTTGAGAATCTCTGCGGGAGTCGGATACTCACAGATGGAGCCTCAACCCAACTCACCTGTTTCAGCGACAACCCTCCACCGAATCGGGCAGGCGAGGTATGTTAGTTATATGTTAGATCTTGACCTAGACGAGTGCTAATCGACTGGTCTTCAGTGATCATTGTAGAAGGTAAAACAGATTGGCAATTTTCAAGCAGCCATCCAGTTGCTAAATGTTGAGGGAATGTAGAAAGAAAATCAAGTGTGACGGGGTGATGGGGCATTTCCATCGGTCCGAACTTCCACCCTTGCGTTCACGTCGAAGAGAATTGACATATGTGCGCAGTGTCGGGGTTGTGAGAAGGCCGGACTAGTTTGTGAAGTTTCTGCTACACTCAGGAGACAGACGAAGTGCGAGGATACGTGATTATCCGCTGACCCATTTCTATCTCTGGAAATATCCAACTGTCTTCTAGATTCACCTCGGATGAACAAAGACCAGAGCAGCGTCAGGCCGAGCTGACAAGATGCCAACAAAAGCTCAAGGCAGAGAAAGATCGAAGCGCAACTTTTCGACAGAAGTTATCCCGTCAAGAACAGCTCAGGCTTCCGCTTAACCCAGTAACAACCACAAGTTTAGTCGAGCCTCGAGGGCCAGTTCGCGCCGAGGGACGCCCAGCTGACGACCCAGCATATGTTATCAAGCATACGGGTCGATTGGTTCATGATGAAAAAGGTGTCGGTCGCTTTGTGGGCTCAACTACTGGTGTTCATTTTGTTTTGACTGTTGAGCAAGAGTGTCAAAAAGCACTCGATCTTTCAGGCATGTTTCCGGAAAGCTGCTTCCGCCTGTTTTTGGTCGAACTGTCTCCCAGTAGGGGATCTTCTCTAGCAACCATCTTTTCGGATAAACACGAAATGATCAGACAGTGTCTAGCTGATCCGTCAGTACACCACTGTCAGCAAGCAGATGCTTTTCATCCAGAAATGGGAAGCATTCTGTCCCATCCTTGTGAGAAAACAACTCATGACAGATATACGGGATTTAATGATCGCATTATGATCGCAAAATACAGCCCAGGTGGTCACGGTGCCATTGATTACTCTACAATCTTGACATTGCTGATGATCTTAAACATCCATGAATCTGCTGCCGATGCTACGAACCAACTTCATGAACAGAGTCTGGATTCCTTAAATAGACTTTCTTTGGCCCATAGCTTGATTGAAAAAGTTGTCAGTCAAGAAAATCTCATGAGTCTGCAGGCTTTTGTCCCTTTTGGCGCTTTACAACCAACTAAAGGATCACCGTCTGACTCTCACAACCCTCAACGGCATGATTGTCAGCCTTGCTCAATCTGTGGGCCTCCATAGACACGCAAGGCGATTCAAAATGGGGGTGGGTGAAATAGAGCTTCGGAAACGCTTGTGGTGGTGGGTTTAAGCTCCAATGACAGGGGTAAGCACATAGTACTTGATGGTCTTTTCATTGTCAGAACCGCGTCACCGAGGCTCGGACTATACTCGCTTTTTTGATAGACCTCCCGGAGGATGCATCTGGGACATCGGGGGAAATCGCTAGCATTGAAAAGTCCCTTGAAAGAACCGCACAAAGCGCGGCGTGCCTTCAAGATCTTCTCAAGATGGGAGAGGATCGCCTGCTGTATCGTTTCTTTATCTGCATCTTGCTCTACTTCTTCTCAGCAGATATCGGGCGGGACTTTGCCTCGGTCTATTCTTCGGTGATTTTTGAGCAAGGTCTAGGGCTGGGTGCTGAGACATCCCGGATTCTCTCCGGTGGTACACTTACCTGGAAGTTCCCTCTCGTGCTTTGTATTCTTCTTCGCCATCGATAGATTTGGTCGTCGCATCACTTTGATGGTGACCGGAGGTGGAACGGCTAGCTGCCTGCTGGGTCTGGTGATTGTGACGTCTTTCCCCCATTCCAACTATGCCGCACAGATTGTCAGTGTCCTTTTTGTCATCCTGGTCAATTTCTTCATTCCGATCGAATTCCTCCAATGCACGGAAGTGGCACCTATTCGTCTCCGTGTGGCTACGTAGAGTGTTTCTACTGCGAATCACTGGCTTTGGTACGCACACCCCTTTGTTCAGGAAAATCGTGTCGCCAAGCACATTCTCATGTTCACGATAGGAACTTCGTGGTTCCTATGATTGCGCCAGTCGCAATAATAACGATTGTATATCAGGACGACATTGTTTATACGTGCATTGGTGCACTGATGCATTCGTCCCTATCTCTGTCTAAATCGTATACCCCGATGTGAGTTTCCGTGATCTGGTATCAGTTGTGAGGCCGTTGACTGATCATCTTCAGACTATGGGACGTTCTCTAGATGAGGTTGACCTCATCTTCCGCGAGTCCATCGGGGTGGTCAACTGTTCGGTTTGCTAATAACCGACCTATTGAGGCCATGCCCACAATCTTTCCGAGGCATTTCAAAGAAACGTGAAGGGAAGCAAGAAGAGTACTCTGCCAGGCCTGTGAGCGAGTAAAGTTTGGCTCTTCATGCTTTTCGTTGCTATAATCCATCTTCGGGGCAGTTAACAGTCAACCAGGTACAATTTCGGCCAAAATTAAGACAAGTCAACAAGGCTATTTATGTGTCCAAATAATCGCTTTTCTCCGTATTACGCAGCTAGTCTTCAATCTCTTGCCGCTGTCCCTTTGAGGTTCTATTGTGTTTTTATTCATTTCCAGGCCATGGAAACAAAAGATGACATTGAAAATTTCCCAGATTAAAATCAAGTCCTACGGATCAGTGTATCTAAGTCTATACTGGAACCGATGGGGAATGAGACTACGCCCGGGGCCAACTCCACCAGACCTTCGGCATAAGAGCCTGTTCCGAAGCGATCAAACCATCCCAGCATTATGCCAACTCCGCGTGAGGGTGAAACAAAATGGAAGATAACATCAGTCGAATAACTAACCCTTTTGATCACTCCTTGTCCTTATCCTGGCACCCAAAATTCGCGAATTACCCTCATCATGGCTGTCTCCGCCCTCGCCTCTCGCATTTTCCGCAACTTGTTCGGAACACAAGAAATTCGGGACATCTTCACCGATAAGGCAGATGTGCAATCCCTAATTGAAGTCGAAGCTGCTTTGGCGCGCGCCGAAGCAGCTGTTGGTGTGATCCCCGCCGACGCAGGAAAGGCACTTACCGACGCTTTTGCACGCCTTCAGATTGAGTACGTCGCAATCACACAGATCCGCGCCAGAAAATCATTGACCCTCATACGGCTCTCATTTTAGCTAAGAGCGCCTAGCAGTTGAAACGGATATCGTCGGATATCCTGTTCTCCCATTGGTTCGGCAATTGGTTGAAGGTACACCCGACGAGATGGCCAAGTTTATCCACTGAGGGGCGACGATGCTTCCATGCTTCAGATGAAGCGCGGTATCATTCTGGTGAAAAGAGAGCTTGAGATCCTGAAGGGGATTCTGAAGGGCCTTGTGGCTACCCATCGTGACACGTGGGTTCTTCTTCCTCGTTTTCACGAGGTGAACTAATGGTAAACGCAGTCCAATGGCAGGCCGAATGCATTTACAGCACGCTCTACCTTGCACCTTTGGATATTGATGTGCAGTATACCTCTCCAGCATCCTCCGAAACTCGGAGCGGATCGAGGAGATCGAGCAGCGGTGCCTGCTTGTCCAGTTCGGTGGTGCGGCGGGCATAATCGCTTCATTGGGTGCCGACGATACAGGGCTCCGGGTTCGGGAGCAGCTTGCCGTCGAACTTGGATTGAACAATCCCGATATCACTTGGCATGTTGCGCTGGATAACGTGGCGGAGATCCTCAACTTCCTGGCTCTTGCGGGTGGCACATTAGGGAAGATTGTATTGGACATGATGAAAATGTCTTCGAATGAGTTTGACGAGGTCGCGGAGCCCTTTGTGCCTCACCGGGGGCTTCGTCCACGATGCCCCAGAAGCGTAATCCTATCTCCAGTGAGGTGATCCTGGCTGCGTCGAAGATGCTGCGTGCCAATGCGTCACTAGGATTAGATGTCATGGTTACCGACTATGAGCGTGCCTCTGGGCCGTGGCATTTGGAGTGGGTGGCTCTTCCTGATGCTGTCGTGACTGCAGTGGGCGTTTTGCACCGGACGGATTGCGCTCTCGGGGGATTGGGGGTTAACGTTGACTCGATGAAACGCCATCTGTATTCCACACAGGGGTTGATTGTGGGCGAGGCTGTGATGATGGGACAGGCACCGCATTTGGGACAACAAGGAGCTCATGATCTCGTTTATGAGGCCTGCAAATGTGTCATTGAACAGAATCGGACCTTGCTTGAAATTCTTCCGGAGTTGCCTCCTTGAATGGAATCGCGACGCCAGAACAGCTAGCGGCTTTCTGCGACCCATTGAAGTAAATGGGAACTAGCCAGTTGATGGTTGATGAGATGGTGAAGCGTGCCGTTTAGTCGATTTTCGTGTTCAACATATCAATCGAAGTTAAGGATCGACGATGATGAACCATCAACGAGAGTGAAGCACAACTCTTCCCTGTGCTGTGGTACACAATTTCGTACAACATTTCCAAGATGATTCCTTTTGAAGACCGGCGGCCTGGTCTTCCCAGATAGGCCATGTCGTGTCTGAAGCACCTCGGGCAGTAGAGTCAACATTTTTGGGAGTGAACGTTGTTGGATTTCGCTTTTTTTTTCGATAACATCCGGTCCAGGCCCCCCTGATTGCTTGGTAGCCCAGACAAAACCTGAGGTCCATATCCTTTGACCCCGCGAAGCCGAATTGCTTCCGGCAGATGTTGAGGGAATTTTGAATGTCCCCAAGCCTTTGTTGCCTCTTGTTTTCGGAGTGGTGAGTAGCGTCAATAAAAGCCGACGGACTATCGAGGAGACTGTATCTTTTTAACTCCTTATCTGTTGTGTACTAGGCCGTGATTAGGATGGTCCTGTCGGTTATGGTGCCGCACCAGTCCGCTGAAGCTGTCTCTGTTATAGAGTGGACGAACTTTGGTGGTTGGTCCACGATGAGGTTGCGTGTTGATGGCGGGCCCTCAGCTATCTCCGGCTCTCTAAAGATCTATCCTCCAAGCCCCCACGATATCAAGTTTCTCTCCATAGGGCGGCCCTAATGTACATGTACATGTCAACTAGCTGTATGGTCTCTGGTGTGTTGTTTCACGCTTCTCTAGCCGTTGTAGTCCGGTGATTCCATCGCCGTGGAAGACTTTGGAGTGGGTGGGGTATTTGCATCGTAGAAACCGAGGGCAGAGAATCTGTAAGAAACGAAGACTACCCAAATCCCCAAAAGACGGGATCAGACGGTAAAAGTGGCTACCTCTTGTGATTTTGGGCATCGAATCGTACAATCTACTGCAATATAGAGGACAATGATCCTTGGATTTATGTGCATCATGCATCCCGTACCAATTCCAAGAAGTAACCCCCATCTTGACATCCCTCGGGTTCCAACTGATCTGATCTTCTCCCGCATGTACATAGCACAATCTCTAACCGGGTTCCCCGTACGGAGTATAAATATCCAGATCGGGTTATTTTTAGCTCACACGGGCCGACGGGTTCTGACTTTCTGATGATCCCGAGATGAACACGTGTGATGTCAGCGTTTGCTAGCGCCATCTCTGTTGTCCATATGACAGGGTCGAGTCAGTCCCCACGAAGTCCTCCGAGATTACCTGTGAGACGCAACCTCTTATGAATTTCACAGGAACAGGAATATAGACCTCTCAAGACACTCACCGTAGGCCACATGGAATCGCTATGATCTATATCACATGCAATGAGAGATGTGAGCAAAGCTGGGAAAAACAAACAGACTGCAAAATGAGACTTCCTACGGGTTGAAACCCTAGATATGTATGAAGCACTCGGTGGGAAATCAAGGTGAGAGTTATACGGAGGATACGGCGTATACGGAGGTAGACTAGGCACGATTATCACCTAAAACATATGATATGTTATTAAACCTGCACATAATATCGTCACTAGGAGGAACATCACCAATCGTAGCGAACCGAAATATATCAAGATTAATTTGAGATTTTGCTTCCCAAAAAAGAGGAATTCGGCAAAAAAAAAAATCTCGGAACCTGGAAGTACCTGAAATTTGGTCCCGATAAAAAACCATCCGTTTCCCTTTTCTGGTCTTCACTTTCTGTGCCATTCTACATCTCTACAACTCTGCAACTCTGCATTTCTGCATTTCTGCATTCCTACAATTCAGGTCAATTTATTGCATCCTGTACTCCATTCTGCTCTTTATAATTCAATTTGCGTTGCTCCACTCTTTGACCTTTCCCCTGGGGCAAGTCCACCTAACCTCACAATCACCAGCCCCTATCTTCTCCTCGGCGTGTCGCTATCTGACTACCTTGCCGGGTCTCAAAAGTGCAAACGCGCTGAGTTGTGATCGCTTGGCTCCACCGACGCTCCACTCCAGCGACAGGCAGATAACAACCGTTTCAGACTTGCCTTGAATATCGGACGCTAAAAAGGTACGGTGGAACTAATAAAATGGACACCCCCAATTCTCCCACTCCGAAAAGGAGTCGTGGATTCAGCGTGAAATCCGACAAGTCCAACAAATCGGGATCAACAAGCCACAAACGTGGACTTTCCGAGTCGTCCGAAGAGAAAGCTCGTCGGAATCTACAAACCAAAGCCGATCCTTTGGTCGCCATGAACGAGCTTCAGCCTAGTACGTCCAGTTGAGAGGTTGGGCCTTGAGTCAGACCCGGTCGCATTCCTGCCCATTTTCACTTCAACTGACACTCCAACAGTGGCCGTCGCGCTGGAGAAGTCCAATTTGGGCTCGCTGCGAGAGATCGAGTTCAAGGATCAGTATGGGAATGTCATCAGTTCGTCTCCACTGGCAATCGTTGGTTCCTGAGGCTTCTTTTTTGGGGGGGCGCTAACCCTTGCTTCGTCCCAGCCGATCCCGACCTGTCAAATCCCAGTCGACCGCGTTTGGAGCGCCCCTTGGATACAATTCGATCGTTTGAAGCAGCTATCAATGGCTCATACACCAATAACCGTGCGTCATATGCTAAAACAGGTATTTTTGGGGAGGCAATGCCTTGTGAAAAGCCAGGAATACCGGAATGCGGGCTGATTTCTTTGACAGACGATGCCGCATCACAGATGGGTGACTTCAGCCGACGTACAAGTTACCATGGAGGTATGTTTTCAGTTCTTTCCCCCCCCCCTCCCTCCCCCCTCCCCCCCTCCCTCCTCCTCCTCTTTCTTTATTTGCTTCTTATCCTTTTGTCGATAGGTCAAAACAGCGGTCCTGCAAACAGAAACTACGATCAAAGTAATTACTACGGCCAAAGCCAATCACGACCAGACAGTATCGTGAACGCATACCAAAATGCACCTCTATCGCCCGAGAACACGAATCCCTACTACGCCCATGGCGGATATAACAAAAATGGATATGGCCAAAACAGCCGAAGACGCCCACCCCACCATCCACGCGGGTCAGCGTCGGCGCTCATGACTCCCTCCGAGGGCTACCCAAATATGGCCTACAGCCCCCAGCACGGTTACCAGCGGTCCCGCGACAACGTCGCTGCCATGTCCAACCCCGGCTCTGGCCACTCATACCCCTATGGCCAGTCCACAGACCCCAGCTCGATGAACAGCTCCAACGACCAGTTGCAGCAGCAGGCTCTGCAGCAACAGCGTCTTGAGGGACGTGCTCAAGCCGAGCGGGGCTATAACAATTTCAGTTCACCCAAGCCTCCCCAGCCCGTGGGTGACTCGAACTGGGGTGGACCCGTTGGTGGTACTCCGACTCCCCCGGCGGCTAGGCCCGCACAACCGACTCCGCCAAAGACTGTGAACCAACCCTCAGCTAGTGAGGAGAAGGCAGACAAGAAGAAGAGCTGGTTCAAGCGCCGGTTCAGCAAGGATAAGTAAATCTGACCGTCTCGACTGAGATGTGAGACTGAGATGGATCATGCTCGATACTGTATCTGGACACTTCCTTTGAAGCGGTATGATCCTCTCTTTTGTTTTTTTTTTTCGGGCTGTGCAGACCGGCGTTGTTTTTTGTTTGCGCGGAACGGATATGGATGTGCGGGGATGTTTTAATTATTGTTTTTTTTTGCTGTTTCTGCTATCATGACTAGTTCATTCATCGCATGCTGTAATGAGGTTATGATACAAGGACACATAGGACTCGTCATGGATTGGAAGCTTTCTTGTTTGTTTCATCGATCCTCTTGTTCGCTTGATGTTTCTTATTCATATCAATCTGTATCTATTCCATATTAATAATCCCTGGGGGGAAATCCCGCTCATCATCTCTCCTTCCTGTTCAACTATTGAGACCTATATACACACGCAGGCACCCATACAAGACCACTTTGAAAACGAAGTCACAAATAACCAGGAGAGAAAGTCCACCACTCAATGAAACAAACCCGGGGAAAAAAAGTTGATACCAGGCTGACCCGCCCTCACCACCGCACGAGAGATGGGAATCACAAGAAGCACAAGATATAGCAAATGCAAAAGCTATTAAAGCTCCATGTCCCCTCCTACTTCCGCCCCAGCAACTTATGCTTCAACTTATCCGCCAACCCCTCATGCGCAGCCTTCTTCTTCTCCTTCTCCTGGAGCGCAGCCTCATCAAGATGAACATTTCCCTGTCCACCACGCTACCGTCTCGGAAAAAAAAGGTCAGCCATACTGTCCTGGGAAAAATGTACCTGGGAATCCGAATTGGGGAGGGAAGACAGGAGTAAAATCAACGGGAAACCCAACACGAAACGATCGGGACGGGGAAAGAATCAGTAAAACCAAAAAAAAAGTAACCAAGCGAAATTGCTCTCTGCTGCTTACCCCGGTGTGGTATGTCTCATCTGTTGAGTTGCGCACCGCGAGTTCGGGAATCATTTCGACGTCGTGGGGAGCCTTGGACGAGGGTTTGACCATTGGAGAGCCGATATTTCCAGCACCGCCTCGCTGGGTGGAGTCTCGTGCATCAGTGGGGGTTTGAGGTTGAGGGGGGGAGGGGAGGTACTCACGCCGGCGGAGTAAGCGCCATCACCTTGGTCGCCGTAGGGGCCTTCGCGGACAATCTCGCCATCGACGTATCTGTTCATGTGTGTTTAGTTTGTGCGCTTGTACGATTGGGTTGGACATACTCGGTAGTGTCGTGGCCGATGTTTCCTTGACCTAGTTGATGAGCTTGTTAGATGGTGGTTGTGGGGAATGGAGGGTGGTTAGGGCTGCGGGGTTAGCTTGCCTCCTCGGCCGTGAGAGACCATCGGCACCTCGGGCTCCTTGGCTTTGTCGGTTTTATCGGGCATCTTGCTTGACTGGGGTTCGTCAGAGATTGAAGGTGTCTATGTGTTGTTCTTTGCAAGTGAGGTAAGTTGTGAGATGGTTGGTTGGTGGGGTAGGTAGGTGCGAGAGGAAGAAGTGGGGGGGCAGGTAGAACGGTATTTCTCGATGATCGATGGGGCGATAGATGCAGGTACAAGATGCGATGGCGGGGAAAATCCACGTGCGTTTTGGGGGGGGGGGGGGGGGCAACTGCAAGCTTACAATTTCTTAAGAGTCTCTGAAGGGCGGTTGGGCTCCGTACAGGGGTGGGATGTAGACAAGTAGATTTGGGGGGGATCTAGATCTTTTAAATACAATCCACCCACTTGATCGTATCGAAGAGTTAGATAATGCAGGGATTCCGTGCCAAGAGGTTCCTTAACTCCCTTGTTCTCTATCTAGATCGTGTAGATACTGTTACTCTCAACTACTCAATACACACTCCTGTCCGCAGACAGCATCGGTGACGTCGCTGATAAGATAACGGTCTCCGATTGGTGCAGGTGTGACAAACTGCAATTGGCCGATAGCAAGCGTGCCGTTTCTATATGTGGATATACTCTGTGTTGGGACCAAAAATAGGAAAGAAGAGTATGTTGTACCTGTGATAGTGATAGAAAGATTCTGGAGAAAAGACATAAGATCAGCGTAGAGATAGCCCAGATGGTATAGGATAGCATAATAAAGGCTGCGCGTGCTGCCCGCGGCATCAAATTAGACACATCCTTAATTCGTCTTCTTCTTGTTTTCACTTGTGCCACCTGTGGTAGGAAGCCCCATGAAGATCTTGAATGAATCGTAGCTGTAAGATTAGAGTCAGTGTATACCCACCGCACAGACCAAAAAGAAAGGAGGCCATACATCATCCATTGGAGTCCGGTCTGGACGTCGGAGTCTGGTTAGCGGCTACAATAAATCACACTTGACATGAGAACAACTCACCAAAGTGCCGATCATCACGATCCGGACAGGAAGTCCATTCCACAATCCCCGGAAGCCGATATCACCGTAGATGCGGCTCATAGCAGCCCCAAATGCCTCACCTGCCTGTCGATTCGCGTTCAACTTGCTGACCATGACATCGGCAGGGTGTGAGACCGCAGCACACAGAATACCAGCGAGATAGCCACCCGAGAAGGCAACGGCAGTCTGGGCACCCTTGTTGTAGTCGGATTTCTGACCTGGCAGATTGTGGTAGATCATCTCAACAATGGTCTCGAAGGAAGCAAACTTCATCATCGTATAGGGCACTTGACGACCCCACAGCGGATATAGGCCCTTGTAAAGACTGGGTTCAAGGTCAGTATGTAGAGAGTTGACTCAAAAACGGAAGACGATAGATGTCGAACTCACCCAGCAACGCCCTCCTTGGCAACAACGCTTGAGATACCACTTAAAGTACCTGTAATCTCCGGAGGAATAGTAGTCTGACCGCGGACCTTGACAGACTCGAATGGGCAAAGCGCAATGTCTGCGATGAGCTCTGCCGAGGCACTGGCCGTCATATAGATGGCAGTCTTGAACCGGCCCGCATTTTCCTGACCGACCAGATCGCTGTAGAAGACCTTGAAATACTCATATCCTCCATACTTGAAAGCTCCTTGTGCCTGTTATGACTATAGTCAGTATAGATAACTAGGGATGTAAAAGTTCCACATGTCGCCCCGACTTACACTGTAGCCGAAGAAGGTAGGGCTCCAGCCCGTAAAGACACCGCGAATGCCTTCAGCTGCACGGATGGTGCGAAAGGCCTGTACGTTGCTCTTGTAGAGCTTGGAGTCAACTTGGCGGCGACATTTGATCAGGTCGAGGGGTGTCACGGCAGTGTGGGTAAGACCCTAGGATACATGCGAGTGTTAGGATCTGGTCCATACAGCGCTCCAAATTCAGACAAGAGGGCATACTAACACACGCCAACATCCCACCAAACGTACAAGCTGCATAGTACTTCAGGGAGCCAGGCTCGATCTTACCGGTCTTTTCCTGGGCCTTCTGGCTTGCGGAATTAAAGTCCCGGCTCGCCTCGTGGGCAATGTTGTCGGCCTTTGTCTTCACATCGTCGAGTGCACTCCAAGCTGTGAACGGTCTGGGTTTCACTGTGGGGCTTGCATTGGCGCTCACAGCACCTAGAGGATGCTGGGCGGCAAGAGCGTTGACCCAGTCGGAAATCATAGTGTACTTTGGAGGTGGGGTATCAGTGGAGTCGGTTTGGATATCCGGTGATCTCAGAGGGTGGATTTTGTGCTCCCGAGAGGTTTGCAGGGTTTGCATACTCTTGGTGCCTGAGGCAGCGGCTCAGCGGCGCTTACAACATAGGCCAAGGTGACTACACACCAGGGGGGCCCCCCTGGCGCAGATCACAGACGAATGGGGTCCCCTGGCGGCCTCTCACGTTTATCCCTTGGTCCATGCTCACATGTACGCCCCTAGTTTCAGCTTATATAACCAGTGTTTGGTGTTGAAATGTATGGTATATTTGATTAGACCATCCCGTTTTGGTATGAAATATGTGGTATCCATGCGCGGAGAATTCCAAACGTCACATTCCTACATACCAATACTAACTAACCGGCCCCTGAATTTTTTTTTCTCAAAAAATACGGACCCCCGCAAGCGAGGGTCCGCCATCCATTCGTAGGGGATCACCCAAACGTCGGTTTTTTTTTCAATTTTGTCATTTTGATTTTTATCCTCTACCACGCCGCCCACCATGCCTAAAACCAATTAAAGAGATTGAGATTGAGATTGAAAAAGCAATAGACTCTCTCTCTAATCAATCTAAATCTAATATTGCAAAAACTGCGCGAGAATTCGCGGTTTCCGAGAGCCGGCTACGACGACGATGGAAAGGTGGAAAATCGCTTTTTCAACGATAACCCAATGGCCGGAAGCTTACTCCTATACAGGGGGGGGGGGGCTTTATATAATTATATTGATTACTTTGACGCGGTCGGAGTATCAATAAACCGCCGTTAAATTACTGTGGTAGCCGATTCAATTCTCGAAGAAGTGTCACGGTGCGAACCGTGATGCTTAGTAAGA